CTCTTGTGTCCCAAAGTCCATGTCAGAGAGAGTAAATATTTCCTCTGGTGTGAAAAATATTTTTATAACTGGTTGAAAGTGCAGGTAACGAGTTTATCAGGAAAAGAGAGTTAAGGAATACTAAAATGAGCAGATTCTTGTCTGACTTTTTCATGTCCAAACCTGTTGATTGCAGCTAGTTGCTTTGAGCATTGACAAGGGCCACCTTTTGCCTATGAAGTTGTCTGAGAAATCTTGCATTGATTAAAAAAAAAAGAAAAAAAAGAAAAAAAAAGGAAAAAAAAGAAAAAAAAAGGAAAAAAAACCTCTTTAATCCAAGTAGCATTAGGTATTGCTGTATGATCAGTCGTATGGTTATTTGAAAGGTTCACATTATGTGGCATCCAAATCGTTTTTAGTGTTTTTACAGCATCCCTCTGCCACTAAATAGTTGACTTGAATTTTGAAAACAACTGTTTGTGTTTATATGTATATGTGTGTGTATATATGTATTTATAGATCCGTGTGTGTGAGTTCAAAGTGAGTTAAATAGTTTTTCCCATGCATGTGTATTTCATACATATCTGGCTGATATATATATTTCACCATACACCAATTTTATAATTTATTAAATGTCAGTTAAAAAAAATAAATAAAAGGATAGAAAATGGGAAATACTTATTTTTTAAACTCAGTCTGATTTTGAAGTGATTAAACCTACTCTAGGAATATATCTCATACATTTTAGTCATGGATACTAACCTGGTAACTTCAGAGCATATGCTTTGCTATAATACCGTTTGTAAACCTGGAGTACAAGTGCTGTCGGTGTAACAGGGAGCATGTGTGGCCCCAGTTCTGAACCATCCAGGAGACACTGGCAGAGCTGGTGGCTGTTCTGCTGACGATCGTGGCAACCTTTCATTGACTGTATTGTTAAAGATGGCCTGAAGAGCAGCTTGTGTCACTTCTGACAGTGGTATTAAAGTCTTGTTAACCCACATCTAAAATGAACCATGGTGAGTGTGTGATAACACAGGATCTGGCATCTTTCTGCCTGGCTTAGCTTTTGGAAAGCGAGGTCAGCTGATGACGACTTCCATTTCCTCACAAGTTGTCCTGAAGGAAAGGAAGGCTGTTCAGTTCACCGTTGTTGTTTCTGAACCTCATGGCTCTACAAAGAAGGGACAGACATGTTCTGAAGTCCTCCTTTGTGGTATTAATCCCATATGCTTTGTGAGTATTCCTGTTTCATGCTAGGGTGTTCTTTATTGCTGATAATTCTCTGTGCCTCTGACCACAGTTAACATTGCTTGGTAGAAGTCTCAGTCTGAGTTCTCAAAAAGTTCCCTGCAGATGTCACTCCAAAACTCAATCTCCATTAGTTCAAGTATTAACAAAGATGCTGTAAAGCAACCCAGAGCTCCCGATGGCAGAGTTTCTGTGGATCCTTAGCCTGGAGGTCTCTTGTCCTCAAGTTCTTCCACCAGAGAGGTGGGGTGTGCGCACACTTGTGTCTGTGTTTTGGCAGGGTATGAGCACACAGCTGCTTAACAGCAGGGTGGAAGTGGCTTCGAAAGCATTTAGGGCATCACTGATGCATCCTTTAGATGCTCTAACCTAGACGGTGTGTTAAGATCTTGGTAGCACTTCCATAGCAATAGATGTGACAGCGACTGCAGGCTCACCCCTTCCTCCCCATGGCAAGGACTGAAAGCCTTTCAAGGGTGGGATGACTGATAGGTTGTCGTTGGACTCTGTTGGACCCTCACTAAGACTGTGAGGAGAACATTTGACAAATTAACTCTCCACTGCAGTTTTAACATTTCAGGAGTTTAAGCACATTTTGAATAGAAAAGGGTTTGTTTTGTCAGTGTAACCAGTTTTCTTCTTTTAAACAGAGCTTAGATTTCTAACAAGGGAAAATTGCTGGTGGTCCCCGAAAGTGCTGCTGTTAATTGTTTTAATTAACAAAGGGAAAATGTATATAAGCAGAATATTAAAATTACCATTAATTCCATGAATTGAAATCTGTCATTCATTGCCTTAAAACTTTCTCTTAGTTTCCATACGGCATGCCAAACCAGTAAATGGCTTTTAAAAATGTATAGTAGACCAATGTCAGTTTGTATAAAAGTACCAAGTGAAAATATTTATTATATGCATTGGAAAAAAAAATGGTTTACCTATTGAATGTTACCTGTTTATGTAGAAATCTTTAGATGTAATAAAAAAGCATTCAGTTACGTTGTGTTTCCTGGGGGAAAAACAAAAAGGGGGGGGGAGAGGAGGGTGTTTTCAGTTGCAAAAGGTCCCTTTTGAACAGGGATGCTTTGCCACCAAATGCTTTGTGGCATGGAGTGTCTCTGTTGTCTCTCCAAGCTCTAACAACTTGGGTTTGGAGCGGGTTTGAAGCGGGGTTCCTGTTTGCTGGCCTGTGTTTGGGTAGGGTGCACCCACCCAGAGAGGGTTGTGACCCCCTGTTAGGATCCAGATCCACTCTAGAGTAATCCAAAGTGATGTTGAGCTGATCAATCCCCATGACATACAAGCTTTCACACTGTCTGCAGCTGAAAGAATTTATTCATCAACTGTTCTGGTCAATAGGGAAGTATTAAGCTGTGTATTGGATCATTTGTAATTTGGTTATTGATGCACATTGGAAACAAATGCTTCTACATGAACTCTGTTTCATAAGCTGGTTATGCTCACAGGAACTGAGGTTTGTGCTCATCTCCATCACGGTGCTTCTGCAGCAGAGGGCTGGAAGGGCTCTGGTGGGCAGCCCGGGCTCGGTGCTGTGGGCAGAGCTCCAAAAGGCCCTGGAGCAGAAAGGCTCAGCGGAGAGGTAGGTGCGGTTTGTATCCAAACACTGGGATTAACCCTGACGGGTGGGAACAGAGGTGTGTGGGAAATCTGATCTTTTGCTGTTAGTAGGAGCTGTTGGTTTTGTTAGTGAGTCTTTGCTCTATTTCGCTGCTGTTTTCCTGGAGTGTTGGCCGAGTGCTGAGCTGCTTGTTACTCTAATTCTCAGAAACAGGGTTTTCCAGGTTTATTTTCTCTCTCTGGAGTAGGAAGATGCGGGATGCATTAGACAGGCATGACAAGATACGTCAGTTCTACAGCGAGCAAAGTTCATTTCCCCTCAAAGCACAATCCTTTACTCTTCAGAGGGTTTTTCATCTTGGCATGTCAGGATCTGAGCTTGAGCTTACTGGGTTAGTTCAGGACTGCTGCCTTGAGAACTGCAGGCTCTGCAGCTTGGCTCTGAATCAAGGGAGACTGGGCACAAAACTGCCCTTTGTCTTAAATACAGGACTGGGAGGGATGTCCTGGGTCCGCTTCCATTTCTTGCACAGCATCGAGCATGTCATTTGGTCTTTTGATTATAATCTTTTAATCTTTGGTTTGGAAGGGTTAAGATTTGAGATCATAAGAGTCATTTTGTGTTGGAAGGGAACTTAAAGCCCATCAGTTCCAACCCTTTGCCATGGGCAGGGACACCTTCCGCTAGAGCAGGTTGCTCCAAGCCCCGTCCAGCCTGGCTCATACTTTAGTTTTGGTTTTATTTGTCCAGTTTCTAACCAAGTTTGTGGTAGTTACAGTCCTGGTTGATTCTGTGTTGTAGCAATGTGTGATGATGGTCTTAGTGGTCATCTTGGTCAGTGGTGGTAAGGCTGTGCGGGGTGCCTCAGTAGGGGATACATGCATTGTATCTGCTGTGGCTGTCATCATCTAATTGCTGATTATTTCGTACATGGGGCAAAGAGCGAGTTGGCTCAATTTGAATCCCAAATTGAAGATTAGGAGTTAAAGCAAGGAAGGAGGGGAGAGAAGGGGCTCTCATGGGTAGAAGCCACTGCAGACCCATAGGAACTTGGCCTCTTCTTAGTGTGTGGCCGCTTGTGCTGCGTGTCTTGTGTCTGATGGTCCCTGTGCAGATTTCCAGCTGATTCCAGAGAGAATCTGCTGTGTGTTGTCCTAAATTTCATGTACAGGTCTGTGGACCTTAACTAAGGCTGCCAAGGTACAGGTGGAATAAGCTCAATAATAACCATTCTGGGTCAGAGCGGCTTTAATCAGTCTAAAGCCAGGAGTGTGTTTTCGTGTTGTAGAGAAGCTGAATTTCCCTGGCCCTGTTCTTCCCTGCCATGCTGTCTCTGGGAGCATGTCGTTGGCGGATAGCCCGGAACTTGGAGACAGATACGTTTACCAAGCACAGCATTTTCAGTGGGTTACCTCAAAAACCAGCTTAACCACACAGAGATTTGGCACTGGAGAGCGTGTGCCTTAATAACAGGACAGAGGCACAACAGGACAGAGATCCTGTGTGATGGAGGAGAGGAAGAGGAGGAGGAGTGAGGTGGTGACTGTAGAACATTGCTGTGTTTGGAGAGTGGGAGTTGTCCTCTGCTGAGCATCACTGATGGCGGGGGAGCGGAGAACTGCTGCTGCCTGTGTCTGCTGCACTGGATACTCAGTGGGGATGTGGCTGTTGACAGGGAAATACCTTCTTGAGATCATACCTTGGACCCAAGGAGCTGTGCGTAGCTGTACTGGATTTACCTGTCATGACATAGCTGAGCTTCCATGGGGATCTCTACACAAAAGACTGTCTGGGCATGGGTGTGTGGAAGCAGCAAATGGTTGTGGGTAATGCTGACTTTTTGGAATGCTGTCACTATGAGACCTTAACTACAACTTCCCATTTACACCACAATCTGTAGACTTAAATGCACTTTTAAAATAACTTTTAATGAATGTTTTTAATTATTTTTATTTGTTACTACTTTAGATGCTATTTTTTGAAGCATGACACACGTTTCACAAGGGAATGTTACAAGCAGCTCACATTCATCTCCAGGAATGGGGTGGGATCCTGTGTGAGTGTAAGCACTGTCGTGAAGGCAAAGTAAGGGGTTTTAAAGGCAAATGATGGTTCCCGAGTCCAAGTAGTAAGTAGGAAAAATTGAAGCCAAAAAAGTCTCAGGCTCTGCTCTTACCAAATCTTGGTTTAAATTCTAGTAGTCGACTGTTGGAAGACAAATCTTGTGGACAAATTCTTCATATTTGATTGTTCCATTTGGTCCAACTTTGGCTGCTTTGAGCAGGTCATCAACTGAAAGAAAGAGTGGAAGAAAAGCACAGGTTTGAGTGGCAGATACTACACATGTTGTGATCTTCACAAGAGCAGCAATGCGGGGTTTGGGGTTTCAGATCAGTTTTAACTTCTGGGATCAGTTCTGGTGCCATCCAGATGAGCTTTGAACTAGCATCAGTTCACACTTGGATTTAGATTTCCATGTCTAACTTTCTGGAGCAGAGGTGCCCATCTCCTTGATTTGCACATGGAAAAGATTCACAAATTTAGTCCGAATCAGCTTTTAACTGTTCTTGGTAGGAGTAGCTTATTTAGCCTGGGTAGCAACCTGTCCCTATTCAATTTAGACCAGACTAAGTGCTCATGGAGGTGATGTGCCCAACTTGAAGCAGATTTGTGTGACACTTGTTAATGTTGGCAGGTCTTTCAAATTCTTCCCCTTATTTGAAAGGGAAGAATATCCCAGCTGGAGCCCTGAGGCTGTCACTGGAAATACATCTGAAGAAGTGGTAACTGTGCAGTTGGCACCTGGGAGCAGTGTGTTGCTTTTCATTCCAGCTTTGGGAATGCCTTGGCAGTGACAGCAGCTGCCTAACTGAAAATGTTATCATCTTCTGTACAGGCTAAGCCATTAGAATCATAGAATCCCAGAACGGTTTGGGTTGAAGGGACCTTAAAGCTCCTCCAGTTCAACACCGGCCACGGGCAGGGACACCTTCCACTAGAGCAGGTTGCTCCAAGCCCCTGTGTCCAACCTGGCTTGAACACTTGAACACTGAATACAGCATCTCTGTGTGACAAATCACTGTTCCAGGAAAGAACTCCAGGAAGGGACGAGGTCTCTTGGTTAACAGGTTACCTCTTCTGCAAGGCACAGAATCTCTGCTTGGCCATCGTGGTGTGGGTAAAGGCTGGTGACAGCAAAGGAGACTTCATCCTCACGTGAGTCTAATTAGAGTTGATGGTGCTAATGGTTCTGCTTGGCTTGGGGAGCACTCCCTGCTCTGCGTGTGTGTCTGGGCTCTGCTGGAGGCTCTGGTTTATGTGGGGAAAGCCTTTTAAACGAAGGCACAAGCTCATCGTGTGGCTGTGACCAGAAGGAGGCTGGTGCTGGTGGGGTGGACTTGGGGACACAACAGGAAGATGCGATGCCCTGGTGCCCTGGACATCTTGTGTGTGATGGGGGGACATCCCTTCTCTCCCTCAGGCATGCACCAGCACTATTCCCTGCTGGCACAGGTCCTTTCCCAGGGGGAATTCAGGAAGGAAATAAGATGAGGAGCATTTGATAGATCTTTGAATTGCAAACTACCTTCTTCCTCGGAGAGCTTCTCTCCTAGTCTTGTAAGCTTGGCTTTCAGCTCCGAGATGGTGATGATGCCTCTCTTCTGCCTGTCTATCATGGACAGGGCGGTGAGGATTTCCCTCTCGGGTTCCTCTTGCTTCATTTGCCTGTACATGATATTCAGGAAAGTGGAGAAATCCAGCTCTGCGTTTTTGTCTGGAAAAATAAGAGGAGATTCTTTAGGAATGGCTCAGTTTCGTAGTCTAGATCCAGTCCTGAGCATCCCCGTTGTCTTCCCCCCAGTTCCCCCTCCTGGGGCACCTTTTGCCTGGCTCTGGTCTGGACCAGGATGGACCATATCTGGGGGCTTTCTCCTGGCCTAAAACCCTTTTATAGCTTCACTACACTTGTGTATCCAGGGTTTTTGTGCACAAGGTCTGTATGCCAGACCTAGCATCCAGGATTTTAATCCAGCCCATTTTATCTCATGATTCTTCTTTGCTCTTTGTGCTGTGCTTTGAACTCATTTGTGTATCTGCACATGAACATCTTCCAGTGTTCTTCTACCTCTGCTGGTTGGACTGGGCAGATTCCCAGCCCCAAAATCCATAATCACTACAAATGCCTTGAAGCTTTTCTTTTTCGATGGCACTGTTTTAACCCATGTGCTGGCTCGACTTCATTCAGCACCACATCAGACTATAGGCTTTGGTGGCTGCTCTTGGTTTGCATTGCCTCTCACCCAGGGTCACTGTTCCCTGCAGGGCTCCTGGCAGCCCCCGAACCACAGAGAAGCTGCATTTCTCCATCTGTAACCCCACGTGTTTTATCCATGGGCTGCACTCACCGATCCTGTGCAAGTGGAGGTGTCTCTGCACCTCGCCGGGCGTGGGGCTGGCTCCCAGGCACCGCATCACTGCCAGCAGGTCCGAGGCCTTTATCTTCCCTTTTTGTTTCTTGTCGTAGAGGGAAAAACATTCCTTGAACTCTAATTAAAACCCAAAACTGTTATTCCCTGTGGGAGGACATTGATCCACCGCTGATGGCTCTTCCCGTGTGGCCCAGCTGGGCGCTGTTGGTCGGGTTCCAGCAGGGATATTGTGTCTGGTTTGGGGTGTCTCGTTTCAGGATGATGGACAGTGGTGGGGGGGACCCTGGGTAAGTGCCAAGGACAATTGAAATCCAGGCTTAGGACTAATCTGGGGTCCTTCAGCCTAATGGAGAAGTCCGAGAGTGGAGCCAGGCTGCTGTATGTGGAGAATACTGTTTAATACTTTGCCTTTGTGGGGGTAGGAGAGGATGCTAAAGGAGTGAGCCTTAAGGACAGAACCCCAGATTGTTTTGGGTTGAAGGGACCTTAAAGCTCCTCCAGCTCCAACCCCTGCCACGGGCAGGGACCCCTTCCACTAGAGCAGGTTGCTCCAAGCCCCTGTGTCCAACCTGCCCTTGAACACTGCCAGGGATGGGGCAGCCACAGCTTCTCTGGGCACCCTGTGCCAGCGCCTCAGCACCCTCACAGGGAAGAGCTTCTGCCTCAGAGCTCATCTCAGTCTCCCCTCTGGCAGGTTAAAGCCATTCCCCTTGTCCTGTCCCTACAGGCCCTTTTCCAAAACCCCTCTCTGGGTTTCCTGGACCACCTTTAGGCACTGGAGCTGCTCTAAGGTCTCCCCTTCAGGAGCCTTCTCTTCTCCAGGCTGTCCCGACACCTCATTGCAGGCTGAGTGCCGGGTGCCCTGTGGGTGCTGTGCCGGGTGCTGTGTGGGTGCCGTGGCCTCCCCTGCCCTGTCCACCTCCTCCCTGCCGCCGTCCCTCAGAGCTGCTGAGCCCGAGGCCATTGCAGATTATCGGGTTTACAATAATACTCTTATTTCAGCTGCTTCTGCCATTCTCTGGCAAACTCGTCCTCATCCCTGCCTGGGGTAGGGGCCCCGCTCCCAGCGAGAGCCCCGGTGCCGCCCAGTGACTTCCCGCACCCTCCTTCCTCCTCTTCCTCCTCCACCTTCGCTCCCATCGTACATGAAACCTCAGTACTGCAGGTTCCTCCTGGTCCCTGCTGCTTGGCTGGGGCTGGCGGGTTTATGGGGTTGGGAGGTTGCTGGTCTCAATGCAATCCAATGAGTGGGTATGGGGGGGTTCAGCTCCCCAGCACTGTGCTAGAATTGGCAAGATTTCTTTGGTTTCGGGGCAAAGAGAGACCCTGGAGAGCCGGGAGGAGACAAGTGGGGAGCACAAGACAGAGTGAGGCACTTTGGAGAGAAATGCCACCTTATGTAGATATAAACTTAACAAATCATATATATATATGTGCATTTGTTAAGCTGATCTTGCTAACAGGAAAAAACCAAGCGAACCCAAACCAAAACCGTACGTACCATTAATCTGATCCTGGGACAGAAATTTTGCCTGGAGCGTGGAAAGGAGAAGGAGAGAAAACAGGAAAACCAGCTTTAAAATCTGGCCGGGGAGCAGTGTGAGGGGGGTTTGTATCAGCCCAAACGCTTCACTCACCATTATCCCGGGGCTTCCCTTGTGTTCGACGCTGCCCGTGGGGATCGGAGGCGTCTGCTGCTGCTTTCCTACTCGATTAAGGGCTAAAGTCCGGGGTGGAGTGAGGCTGTAATAAATACCCCGCTGCCATGGCTACGAGACCTGATCCCTGCCAGGCTGGATCCCGCGGCTCCCGCTCACATGCCATGGGGATAACGGCGCTCCCAGAGCCTCAGATGGGACCGAGGAGCAGGGTGAGAGCTTCCCTTGGTAAGGGTTTAGGGGTGTTGGGGTCAGGCTGGATGGAGATGGGCTGGTGCAGCACGAAGGGTTCGATTGTCCCCAATAGCTGCACACCTTGTGCTAAGCTTTGCGGCTGGGACACAAATCCAGCCTGTTGGTGGCTGCTGGGGACGGGCCAGGGGATTTACAGCCCCACAGGTTGCTGCTGGAGGGATTTGGTGATGGCAGCAGCAACAGGAGGTAGTTTGGGCTTGGTGCAGGGCGTTGGGCATCGCTGGCCATGTTGCCATGCCCTGACCTGGGGCATGTCAGGCAGGTGGGGAGGAGAAAGGGTTTGTGAGAGATTTAAAGCTCCTCATTGTCTGCGTTGTTATTCATTAGCATTTATTCAGCTGATCCGCCTGGGTCAGACGCCTCCAGGACTGACAGGTCTTGTTGCAGGTGTAGAAGGGGGGATGATGCTGAGGAAGAGGGAGAGCTGCAGTGGGCCAGAGAGTTCTGAGGTTTAACCTGGGTGCTGGGTGCTTGTGGACCAGCCCAGACCAACAGCCCTGTTTGCTCACATCTTCTGGTCCCTTCCAGCACTGTGCTGCTGCTGCCACCCAGTTGACATTCAAGCCATTGAAAAGCAAGTGTTATGCATGAATCTGTCATTTTTGTCCCATCCTGTCCCCTACAAGAAGAGCTGAGCCAACAGTGTGGGTGCAGGGTGATGCTCAGCCCCTCTGCGTCTGCTGGTGCTGGAACTACCCCAGGAAGGAACCCATCAGCAGGTATGAGAGGGGATGAAGTACCTGATGCCAGGCTTTAATGGAGATCCAGACCCAAGAACAAAGTATTTGGTGTCCATAGTGACCACTGCAGCATGAACCAGCCCCTTCCCAGGGTAGACCCTGCTCTGTTACAATGACGTGTTCAAGGTCCTTAAACCTCAAAAGAATCAAGGAGCAGTGGGTTTAAATTTAAACAGGGGGAGCTCAGCTTAGACCTCAGGCAGAAGCTCTTCCGTGTGAGGGTGCTGAGGCGCTGGCACAGGGTGCCCAGAGAAGCTGTGGCTGCCCCATCCCTGGCAGTGTTCAAGGCCAGGTTGGACACAGGGGCTTGGAGCAACCTTGTGTAGTGGAAGGTGTCCCTGCCCTTGGCAGGGGTTGGAGCTGGCGGAGCTTTAAGGTCCCTTCCAACACAAACCAGGCTGGGATTGTGTGATTCTCCTTTCAAAGGGCAGAGCTGCTTCAGGAAGCAGTGGGAGTCACTTGGCTTTTACCAAGTGCTTTTATTCTCTGTTCTTTGCTAATGGCTTTTCAATTCTACTACTTGAATTCAGTCACACAGGGCTCTCATACAAATTTTGTAGACATAACCCATTGCAGGGATGCAGCTGGGGTTGCAGGAGCTCAGCTCCACCACCTGAGCCTGGAGAAGTGGTGAATGGGAACAGATCCCACTGGGCACTGGAGCTCACCCCCTGCCTGATGGGTGCTCATTTTGGCTGCATTCATGGGGAACTGCCACCAGCCAGGCCCTTCCTGCACCATGTCTGCACTCAGCAGCGAGGGTTTAACCCCATCATCGACAGCCAGGACCCTGGGACCACTGTGCAGATCCAAGGTAGGGCAGCTCAGCCCCTTCCTGGCATGTTTCACTCATCTTGGAGCACTGTGGGAGCAGCAGATACATCTCTCAGTGCCAAGATGCGGGGAGGGCGCGAGCTCCAACTTCCCTGTCATCCCTGACTCCTGTTAAAGGCTGGGATGCTCCTGGGGTGGCAACGGTGGTGGGGCTGGAATGCTGCGCCCCTGCCACCACCCCGGCTTTAAAGCCTTAAGTCACAAGGACTATTCTCCCCTTTGTTATTCAGACACCTCCTCCCTGGCTGGCTCTGGTTGACACACACACACCGTGCAGCTCGTGTTGGTCAGGAATTTATTTGAAATACATCTACCTTAGAAAAACTAGATTATTCTTTTTTAATTCAAATCACTCTAAAATATCAAAACTTAAAAACTTTCCTTTGCTGGATGGAGGTTGTTCATGTGCAGGGTGTAAAATGCCCACGGCTCGGGGATGTAGATCACCCCGGGGTACTTCTTCCTGAGGATTTTGTCATTCCACAGCCAAACCACCCAAAGAGCAATGAGGACCAGTGTGATGATGAAGGAGTAGAAGAGGAAAAGCCCATTGCTGTCCAGCACGAGCCCTTTGCGCTTCTGGTGCATCACCAAAGCCATCATGGCAAAGAAAGTGAAAATGTAGAGGATGAAAATCTGACCCTCGGTCACGAGGTACCTACAAAGCAAAGACACCCATTAGTGCTCCCATGGAGAACACAGCACTTCCAGCCTTACCTGGGGTGAGCATCTCCCGTTCTCCGGCCCTGCATCAGGCAAAGCTGTGCTGCCTTCTGCCAGCTTTTAAGCTGTGATTTTGTTTCACTTTATCCGTAATTTAACAACCAAACTATGGGCTTCATTAAGAGAATGGATACAGAAATGGGATTTTGGGCTCAGTTTGTGAATGGGATGCTTAAAGGCAGAACCAAAGCCAGACTCTGGCTCTGTCCCATGGATGCTGTGCTTATTTAGTTCAAAACCCCACTGCTCTCCCTGTGTATGTGGCAGTGGCCAGTTCTGAGCAGGTGTTAGGAGGGGAAGGAGGAATTACACTCCCTGGTTCTTGAAGGCTCACACAAGAGCTGCAGAGCTTTGTGCTGATGGATTTAAAGGCAGCACATTGGGGGAATTGGGAACTGACCAAATCATCCTGATGATTTTGACTATCAAAACTTAATTTACTGTATAAAAGCAGCCTCGGCAGGGGGCAAAGCCACGGGCAAGAGAGAGCCTCATCTCTGGAGACGAATGAGAAGCTGTTTGGCTGCCATCAGGGAACCCGTTTGGGAAAAGGAGGCTAATGAGAATGGGAAATAAATAAGACCTCTCTCAAAAGGCTATTTGGGACCCGCAGGGCGAGAGGAGGAGGCAGCGCTTGAGCATCACCCGCATGGCCTGGGCTCTGTGTGAGACCTCTCGACATGGTGAGAGCATCCCCACTGCCACCAGTGAGCTGAGACCGTGTGGATGCGCTGCAGGCACCGGGTGAGCGCCCCAAAATCATCAGGGAACTGTGTGACAGGCAGCAAACGGCAGCCTCTGAAGGGCAGAGACAGCAAATACCATGGAGGGTGGAAGCTGGAGCTCCAGCAGTCACAGGATGACCAACTGTGGTTAAAGAAGCACCCTAAGCAGGGATGTGAGTGCTGATGGGTGACCCCGGACTTGTCTCAGCTTGTAAAGGCTGAAGTGGCTGCAAATATCAATGTGATTTGATGTGGTTTGATTTAATTTGATTTTCCAGCCCTGCAGAGCAGAAACTGCAGCAAGTTCTGCCCTGGGGAAGGCAGAAGCCCTCCCTGCACACTGGGGGCCTGCCTGTGGTATTCCCAAGTACTCCCTCTTCATCCCTTACCCATCCAGAGTGGACAGAAGCCACTTACCAGTAGTAAAGGCTGCTGGGCCCCATCAGAAGCAAGGCAGCCACTGGCATCCTGCTCTCCTCCTCAACAGGGGTGAAGCAGCCGGTGAAATATATGAACAGGATCAGGAAAAAAGGGATATACCTGCACATACAAACAGCTCCCATCAGTGGCGTGAACCTGGGAAGTGTTTAAACCCCCTCCCCAAATCCAAACCATGCACATGAGCCATTCCTGTGCTGTCCTGGCTGCACCTGGCTGCAGGTACTGACTTCTGGGGCTCTCATAGGAATAGCCCAAGTTTGCTGATAAGGTTGCATGTGGGGCTCAAGTGTTGAACAATCACATCTGTCACTGTGAGAGGCTGTGTGGTGGTAGAGGCTGAACTGCAGGTCAGGGACCAGGATTTCAGTAACCTCACAGAGCCCTTTTTAATTTAAAAGAACAGGATTTAGTTGCTTCTCAGCGCTCCAGGAACAGCAAATAAACCAGGAAAGCCTCATGGGGAGAGATTTCCCTCTGCTCTGAGCAGCCTCAGGATTATCTGGCAGCGGATAAAGGGACAGACAGTCCCTTCTGGGGTCTCTGGTGCAGGCAGAGCAGCAGGACATGGACACCTCTGGCACTGCCTGTGTTCCTGCCTCTGGGGAGGTGTGAGGCTGGATGAAGCACGTTGTCCAGCTGGAATAAGCATTTCTAGGGTCAGTGTGGGGCAATAGCACTGAAATCGGATCCTAACTGAGCTCCCTGGATCACTGTGGCCAAGTGGTCTCTGTTACTGGTCTGGCTATGAGAATAACCCTTCCCCTTGCTGGAGGGTCACTACATGGATGCACAGTGAGTAAAGAGCTTGAGTCTCATCTCACGTGGGAGACGAGAGCCAATGGTTTGACAAACCATCCCTATGGCTGTCGAACAACTGCCACATCCTGGAAACATCACCGAGACAGAGATAAAACTAGGGGGAAATGGGTGATTTTCCAAGGGGGGAGATCCACTGTAATCACCCTGGCTCTGAGAGCATTATCCCCAGCCAGCTCTCATCAGCTGGGATTTATGTTTTTCCCATATTAAGCTCTGATCAGCCCAGATCTGCCCTTCCTCCCATTACATTCTGAGGCTGCTGCATAGGCTGTGAGTTGCTTACCACATCGAATGACCTAAATATTCATCGTAGTAGTACAGCAGCTCAAAGGAATCAATCTGCAACACAACAAAGAGCTTTAGAAGGGCAGAGGGAACAGGATGCTCTTATATAAGGACAAGCAATTAATGTGGTTTTTTAAAGTGCTTATATAAAGCAGCCTCT